GATGAACGAATTACACAACATGAACCTTCCTCTGCTTCTCCCCCTGAACCAAGTTCAGATCTACGAACTGAACTTAAAGATACCAAAGTACCTACGAATAGATGTTGAGCGCGGCGAGCAGACGTAAATGTCTTGTTTACCCAATGAAAACCATCACAATAAACTCTGAGCTTGCATAGAGATGCTTGTCCTGGCGTAAAGGAGCGTTTGATTAATCAATCTAAAACAGATCTAAAGGAAAACCCAGGGGATTTAACTCAGTAATTCATAAACTACGATTTTTCGCTCCGCTTTGGCCAACATTTGGTTGGAAAACGATTGGGCAGATAACAATCGACCCGATTTTTTTCAGAAAATATATTACAAATTGGGCATCCAAGCAAATCAAATAATGCAAAAAGTCGGACGGATAAATCGTAGTGTGTACATTAGTCTTCTTAAGGCTAAATAATCAACAACAATGAACAATAGCCTCCTTTTGGTGTGAAAATATGTTCGGATATGGTTCCTTGGACATATTCTGTTCCGGGAAGCAAACAGTTTTCCGAGAGCGAAGGTCGAGGGAAACTGTAAACTTCGCTTTCAGAAAATTGCATGTTCGTTTCCCGGAACAGATGATGTCCGACGACATGTGTTCGAGCATATTTTCAAAGCCAAGTGGAGGCTATTGTGTTTATTATCCGTCAAATATTTTTCGCAACATGTGCGATTTAAAAATTGGGCAATATCACCTGGATATAGCCCAGTTTTAGCTTGGGGCATATTCAGTCACGTGACGTGTTTGGACCAATCACGAGCGACAGGCACTGGCCCGAACACAGTTCGTAGCATAAATCCCCCGTAGCACTCCGCTGATTCATGCCACTGTTAATGCCAACATACTAAGAGAAGGGAAGTGCAGGGACTGGTGGGGATTTTTATGACAAATCCTTCGCTTTTTATAGCTAAATTCTGAATTATGTTGCCGAAGGAATGTGAATTTACCATGAAATCTTAGTTACAACCAGGGATGCCCGAACCTTAAAAGAACATCATGTATTGATAAAATCAAAACCTTCTTTGAACTTTTATTCCATCTTATAACCAGTACGACTGGTGAGGGATCATTTCTGTTGGTTGAAAACTGTAAGTGAGCTCTTTATAAACATAAAAATGTAACTATAACCGAGGACCACCTATCAGGTTGATAAATGTTAAACATTGAATAATGCATTTCCAGAGTTTTGATTGGTTTAAAAGGCGTTGTTTTTCAGTCAGTATGGTCAGTTATCTCCTGTCGGTCTTTTCTTTCGTAAAAAATGGGCACGATTTTACGATATTCATTGGTTGTTGTCTTTTATATATAAAACTGTTATAAGACTCGTGCTTGGTGGGTATATCATGATTTAAGTCAATTCATTAGTATCTAAATGTCTGAACTCGTAGAACAATTGTTGTAAATATCAAATTGGTCTATCAGTAAAAAGCCAAGCTATGACTGTTTTGCCAGGCTCGTTCATTCTAAAATTTAGTGAAGAAAACCAGATGCAAAGATAAGCTAGGATAAGATAGGATAGGCTTAGTGTATTTTCATAACCATTAAATTACAGAGTTAGAAAATAACTTAAAACCAAACTAAGTAGCATCGATTCGTAATCTTATTCTTTCAAAAATGTAAATTGATTTACATTTGTATAAAATTAACATTTAGGCCTCGTCCACATGCATCCGGATATTTTTGAATCCGCAACTTTTTCGTTTCGGACACGGCTTCCCTCCACACGCACCCGGCGGATTCGGCAGCGAATCTGGATATTTTTGAATCCGCTCTCCAGAGTGAAAAAAAATAAATCCGCAACGAATCCGATAACTTGTGGATGGTGAATCCGGATATTTTCGAATCCGATGACGTAGCAAAATCGTGTCCAGTCTCTTACCAAACAGTCTCTTACCAAACAGTAGAGTGAATCCGAATACCATCGGATGCGTGTGGACAGGCGAATCCGATTTGAATACGTTACGTAAGGACGAGAAAATTTTTGAATCCGCAAAGAAAAAGTTGCGGGTTTAAAAATGTCCCGAAACGGTGAACGGGGCGGTCTTAGATTGACGTTTAACAGTTTAGATCAAGCCATTTTCAACTCCAGTGACTTTTAAATCTCAGAGGATTAGATGAACAGTTTGAAACAAATTTAAGACAAAATTCAGTCGTTTAGAAGCCGAATATAAATACGCGAAAATGACGTCATCACCTGGCCACTTAATATAGTCGAGTAACTGAGACGTCTAATTAAACGAGAAGAGTTAATCTCCCTTAAGACCTACATTCCATAATTGTTTCTTGCTAAAATATGAAAACTCAGTTTATAACTATATTTTCGAAACAGTTTCTTCCATCTTTCTATTATTAACTTAGTTACAAGGCAGGATCGTACATCCCATCAGAATATTTGACCTGAGTATCATATTTTGATATCATGTTAAGACTTAAGCGAAGTTTATTTTTGCCTCCGGATAGTTTTAGGGTCAGTTTCGAAAACTGCGATGAAGGATGTTTGAAAGACAAAGTAATATTTGTAATTTAACTTCTAAGTTCTCCAGTGGTCTCATGACACCTTGAATCTATGACTTCTGTATTATTAATGAACTCTTCTGATTTAAAACTGCCAAGACCAAAACGTTTATCTGATCAAGTTATAGGGAGTTTGTAATGTTGCAGTGCGATTATCAGCAACTACGTCATGTAATACCCATGCAAAATTTAAAAATATCAACTTTACAATCCAAAACTTTCCTCGCTCCACGGACTGGAATTCAGGTCTCTCTTGCCTGCTAGTAAACTGATCGAGAGAATTTAAAGAAATAAAAAAAAAAGAATGAAATTTTCAGTCTGGATTCGCAAAATTCTGTGGACGCTATGTGACAGCAAAACCACAGAAGCAGAATTTATCACACAAATAGTTCAGATAATTTTAAAATAGATAAATCTTTAAAGGTCAAACTATTTTGGACTTTCGTTGTGTGCGATTCAGCTAAAAATATCTCCAGTGTAACTTAAGCAGTGTGATACCTCGTACGTATATTCCAAACTGAAGTCATTTTATTGGCTCTTAGCTTAAAAATGTTTCTCACAGTTTACTACCGGAATTAAGGAAGTAGTTGCTAGAAGCACTTCACAGCTATAGCACTACAAACGTTGCCAAAATGTAAAGAATCGAATACGTTATCACTGAAACTGTAAAGTAACATACACGAGGATGAAACGCTCTCCGAAATAAATTTGACAGATGAAGTAATTTTGAATGATCTCCGGTAGTTTTCCTGTCTAGCTATTGGCTACAGCGCCAAATCAGGAGCGCTGAGAATTGTATTTAAGGGGAGGGTTACTTGCTGGGAATCAGATCAAAGTCTTCAACAAATCTTCCCCGAGAAGAACAGACAACATATATAAAAGCAAACGTTGTTAAGAAACTAAGTCATGGAGATTATTAAGGTAAAAATATGTTATACTCGTTTATGACCGCACACTAAAACTGCAAAGTTATCCGACGTCCATTCAATCTAATTTTAAGTTTAAAAGGGCGAGGAAACTGAACACTTTCCAAACTGAACAGTAATGTTGTACGCTAAATTGCCAATTTACTTTCATGGAGAAATTGTTTTTCATTCGCATTCCGGCCTACTGACTCAATCACAACTATTATAAAGAAACTAACAACCAAAACTTCTTCACAAAGATTGTTTTTCGACTTAAGGTTTACTGTTTGGTCCCTGTTATTAAGTGTTAATTGTCGTCACATGTTACCATAGATTTCTCAGCTTCTAATAGGAGTTGTGAGAATTTGGCGTTAGATCTACATTACGTGTTGATCTTTCTTGATAATTAATAAACAGTTAATCTCACAGTACTGTTTTTCGGCTCGCAGGTTATTGCAGTTATTCTCGCTGTTTTATTTCACCATGGAAATGGCCGAGCTATAACATCAACCAGCAATGGCAGCATTGAAAGAATGCTTGATTTAGCTGAGGAAGAATTAAATACGGTCTTGAATGAGACAAATGAGAGGACAACTGAACGAGAAGAGAATCCAGCTGATGTCCTCAGATTATCAGAACCAGATTCAGCAAGCCATGAAGCAGTACAGTCTCAGTTCAGTTCAGATAACATAATCC